CTGCTTTTATCCAGATTCTACTAGATTGGCATCTGGTAGTAAGGATTTGTCAATCTGCTTATGGGATGTTAAAACAAGACAACTAATATCATAGTTATTTGGTCATAGTTCCAGCGTTAGGTCAGTAAACTTTTCACCTAATTGTAATATATTGGCATCAAGTAGCGATGATGGATCTATATGTTTATGGGATATGGCAAAAGGATAAAAAATTTAGGATTTAGATAAATTTTGTCAAGAAATTCCTACCAAATTTCAGAATCCTATTAAAACATTTTCTTTATTGAATAATGATAAGTTTGGTAATACTTTCAATTTTATATAGTTATTCCCTATACCAAACTACTTATATCTTCAGATCCAATATCTACATTGATATATAATTAGGATTAATAATTTATTTCCGGCTATAGTTAGAAAATAAAATCATTTATTGAACTCAATTTTATTATATCCATATTTAACTAGTATATTATAAATTGCTAAAATGATATTATCTTTTCAATAGATGAATGACGATTATCAAAATAATCGTCAAATCCTACATTATTGTAGATAATTGAGTATTCACACCCAAAATACTAATTAACATCTGTATAATAAAAAGGTAAGCTTAACTATAACATACCAAATATATTCACATTAAGAGTATTATTTAGAATTTTCATAAACTCTTATATGAGTAAATTACTGTTTTATCATCATTTGTGTTAAAGTTGAAAGTTATAATTAAACCTCAAAGTCTGATGATATGAAAAACTACAAATTCTCTTTTTAAGTAATTACATAAATATAAGGATTTATTTAATTTGGAGTATCAAAATCATTAAATTAATTAGAGTACCAACTTAAATTGTTAAAATTATCTAAAATTAGTGTGAGAATCGAATAATTCTGAAAATATTAAGCGTATATTAAAAAAGTATTCGAACCATTAACTATTGTATTTATTTTTGCTGATATTGGTAAAAAGGATTAAGACTAATTAACAATTTTTGGTTATGTGTCAATTATTTAAAAAAAAGAATAATTAGCTATCCTTGTAACAATCAAGTAAAATTTCAAAACCTAAAAATAAATTTAAATTTAAGCATTTAAATGGAGGATCAATAGGAATAGGTTATTCAATTTAATGAATAATTTAATTCTTCCATTCATAAATAAAAACTTCATTTTCTTATGATAGAGTGAAAAAATGTGTATTATTTGATGCTAATGAAAAAATTCTAATATAGATCTTTAATATTTACATCTATCTTTTGTAGAATAAATTTGTAATACTTATTTATTAATTCAACATATGGAACTTAAGGTTGAATTTTGCAGGTAAAGCTACTGTCACTAAAAATTTCAGTTAAATCAAATTAATAATTTCACCTTCGGTTGGGAATGATTAGAATTAACTATTAAAGTCTGTTATCTTATTTCTAATTAATTTTCAAATCTTAAATCTTATTAATTTTTCTTAAAACATTTAACAAAACCTTTAGCGATTCAAGAAAGGAATGAAAAAAATGATTTATTTTTAAATAGAAATAAAAACCACTAAAATATTTTTTTGAGAAATATGGATTCTGATATGAAGGCATTTTTATATTTATTTCATTATTTCTTAATCTTAAATGGACAATTAACAATGAGATTAATTACAATTAGATGGCATCTTTTTCGATATACTATAACAATTTTTGGTAGATTTCTATGAAACCAATCATGCACTGTTTCTTTCAGATCTCAATCTAAAAAAATTAAATATTATTTGTTAATAAATTTCCTCAGTTATGATCATTACTCCTTTTTTTATTTTTTTATATTTTATTATTATTGTAATTATACTATTATGTTTACATCAATATTCAATTTAATAATACAAACACTTTTTTCCTAAATTTATAAATTTACAAGAAAATCAATAATTTAACTCTGTTATTTATTTATTTTAATTTCCATTTTTGTATTCTATCTTAATTTAACTGCTAATATAAGAATACTTTAATAAGATTTATTAACTTGGAGTTGCGATCAAGAATAATTTTAAGCTAATGATTTATGAGTGCATCGTTTATATAACTGTATTGTTTGTACTGATGCTTCAATTTGTGATAAATGTACGCCAGGTTTATCTGTTATTGCTGTAAATTCTATATGTATTACTTGTTAAAATGGATTCGAAATTAGTAGTATATTATATTGTCTCACACAAATAAGATCAAATGTATAAACATCATTAATTGTTTCATCAAAAGTATTTATGTAATTTTTAACAAGAGTATACCTTTAAATTTCCATCACCAAGTTTGCTTTTTATTTCGACTAACATTGAAAACTGATTATAATAAGTACTACTTTTAGAATATAAATATTTGTATTAAAGCCTTAGAATAATATTTAATATAATTAAAAAATATTTACTTTTATTCAAAATCAAACACTTAATTGAGTCTAAATTGTAATATAGACTTTTAATTGGATTCTCAATCTAATAAATTATCATTTGAAGATTGAAAAATATGTTTAATTAAATGCTAATTAGATCCTTAACATCCATATATTCAATATATTATTTTTGAATTAATTTACTGAAAATACGGATATAATAATGAACAAAGTTGCTCTCCAAATACATTCTAAAAGCTATCCTTTTTCATACATGTTATAAAGAATAATAAATATTCAATTTTTTACAAATAGCTTCTCACTTTTAGAAGTTGCTTGTATTCAAGGTGAACATCCAATAGGTTTTTTATCTAGAGATCCTAATCTATCAAATAGCCTTTTGTCTAATTAATCAATGATCATAGTTATTGTAATTTATCATTAAATTAAATATATGTATAAGTATATATATTTTTCAAAAAATCTTTAATATTTAGATATTATTAATAAGGCTATTGTATCATTCTGATGTAACTGTTATTTCTTTTGTATCAATATTCAAATAAGTTTAGAGAATCTGAATTAGAAATATTGGTTGTATTATTATAGATTGATAGAATAAAATGCAGCTTTTATTGATTATTCTATCAAATTAATAAATTAACTATTAAGTAAAATATCAACAACAATTACAAGATAATATTATTATCTTAGTTTTTTATTATTTACTGCAAAAACAAATGCAAAATTTCATCTTCTCTCTAAGATGCCAATTAATTTACCTTAATTCTTTGATTTTTTGAATTTAATATTAATAGATATTATATTGTGATATGCAGAAATTGATCACTCTTCAGACTTTTCCTATATTTTTATTTAAATTTACTATTATAATTCAGTAGAAGTGTTAAATATATTGAAACGAAGAGATCATTAAAATTTAATCAACTAGGTACACTTCTAAACCATCATTTGCCAAAACTATTAGGAAAGCACAACTATAAAGAAAAAAACATCTGAATAGAATAAAAAAATCAGATAATAGTATATATTACAAAATATTCATTTTACTTAGATGTTATTCGTTGAACAAAATAGAATTGAAGCTTGAATTCAGTCCCTCTAGACTAATTTTCTCTTTTAGCCTTTCAAATATTTTATTTCACAAATACTTCATGTAGAAAGAATAAATAGCTTTGTTTTCTTAAATATTGAAAAACATTTTTTAGGGTACCAGCAATCACAATCTTAGAATTTCATCTTTCCCATTAAACCTGTATTAAGAGGGTAATCTCATTTTGTATTGGTTAAAAAAAAAAGGAATNCAAACACTTTTTTCCTAAATTTATAAATTTACAAGAAAATCAATAATTTAACTCTGTTATTTATTTATTTTAATTTCCATTTTTGTATTCTATCTTAATTTAACTGCTAATATAAGAATACTTTAATAAGATTTATTAACTTGGAGTTGCGATCAAGAATAATTTTAAGCTAATGATTTATGAGTGCATCGTTTATATAACTGTATTGTTTGTACTGATGCTTCAATTTGTGATAAATGTACGCCAGGTTTATCTGTTATTGCTGTAAATTCTATATGTATTACTTGTTAAAATGGATTCGAAATTAGTAGTATATTATATTGTCTCACACAAATAAGATCAAATGTATAAACATCATTAATTGTTTCATCAAAAGTATTTATGTAATTTTTAACAAGAGTATACCTTTAAATTTCCATCACCAAGTTTGCTTTTTATTTCGACTAACATTGAAAACTGATTATAATAAGTACTACTTTTAGAATATAAATATTTGTATTAAAGCCTTAGAATAATATTTAATATAATTAAAAAATATTTACTTTTATTCAAAATCAAACACTTAATTGAGTCTAAATTGTAATATAGACTTTTAATTGGATTCTCAATCTAATAAATTATCATTTGAAGATTGAAAAATATGTTTAATTAAATGCTAATTAGATCCTTAACATCCATATATTCAATATATTATTTTTGAATTAATTTACTGAAAATACGGATATAATAATGAACAAAGTTGCTCTCCAAATACATTCTAAAAGCTATCCTTTTTCATACATGTTATAAAGAATAATAAATATTCAATTTTTTACAAATAGCTTCTCACTTTTAGAAGTTGCTTGTATTCAAGGTGAACATCCAATAGGTTTTTTATCTAGAGATCCTAATCTATCAAATAGCCTTTTGTCTAATTAATCAATGATCATAGTTATTGTAATTTATCATTAAATTAAATATATGTATAAGTATATATATTTTTCAAAAAATCTTTAATATTTAGATATTATTAATAAGGCTATTGTATCATTCTGATGTAACTGTTATTTCTTTTGTATCAATATTCAAATAAGTTTAGAGAATCTGAATTAGAAATATTGGTTGTATTATTATAGATTGATAGAATAAAATGCAGCTTTTATTGATTATTCTATCAAATTAATAAATTAACTATTAAGTAAAATATCAACAACAATTACAAGATAATATTATTATCTTAGTTTTTTATTATTTACTGCAAAAACAAATGCAAAATTTCATCTTCTCTCTAAGATGCCAATTAATTTACCTTAATTCTTTGATTTTTTGAATTTAATATTAATAGATATTATATTGTGATATGCAGAAATTGATCACTCTTCAGACTTTTCCTATATTTTTATTTAAATTTACTATTATAATTCAGTAGAAGTGTTAAATATATTGAAACGAAGAGATCATTAAAATTTAATCAACTAGGTACACTTCTAAACCATCATTTGCCAAAACTATTAGGAAAGCACAACTATAAAGAAAAAAACATCTGAATAGAATAAAAAAATCAGATAATAGTATATATTACAAAATATTCATTTTACTTAGATGTTATTCGTTGAACAAAATAGAATTGAAGCTTGAATTCAGTCCCTCTAGACTAATTTTCTCTTTTAGCCTTTCAAATATTTTATTTCACAAATACTTCATGTAGAAAGAATAAATAGCTTTGTTTTCTTAAATATTGAAAAACATTTTTTAGGGTACCAGCAATCACAATCTTAGAATTTCATCTTTCCCATTAAACCTGTATTAAGAGGGTAATCTCATTTTGTATTGGTTAAAAAAAAAAGGAATTTTAAAGGTAAAATAAAAAAGATTAAAAACTGTTATTTTAATATGTAAATGATGAAAATTAAAACCAATTAACAGGATTTCAGTGTCCCAAAAATTTTGATAAAACTATAAGATTCTTTTAAAAAAGAAATTAGAGAAATTTGAGGATGATAATGTGTTGAATTACAAATTCCCAGTTACTTCCTCTATTGCTTTTCCGAGTGATTAATAAAATTGTATATATTGTCTTTCATATCAAAAATTGATAGTAAATTTAGACTTAGAATACTGTAACTTGATTCAAGTTTATTTATTTTTTGAATTGAAATTGAATTTAACAATGCAATATTTTACAGTTTCTGGTCTCAAAATTATGATTTACATTAAAAATGCTTCCATAACAAAAATAATATTGAAGGATAATTAAATACAATTAAAATTGTTCATAAAAAATTGATTTAATTGGTATTTTTGCTTATTCATCCATTTAAAAAATTCCAATAATTTGAATACATAACTATAATAAATAAGTTAATTTAGATGTTGAGGTGCTTTGAAACTGTATAGAATTTTTTTATCAAGATTAAAGATATTTACAATTTATTTAATTAGATCAAAAATCAAATAGAAAATCATCCAAAGTGGTTCTTGTATCTTAAAAAA